ATCAAAGAACTATAACAACATTATTGTCAAATACAAACAAAGAACACAGCATGCTATCTAAAGAAATTACATCTTAAAATTACCGTCTTTATCGAACTCCTCTCCTATTTCTGGTAACTGTACATAAACAATATCTCCTAGTTTTTCCTGATAAATAAAGAAGAAAATGCTTTGGATAAATATACTGTACAYCACTGTAAAAAGACAGCAGTACAGAATAAAGTAATATAAATGTGGAATAGAAAATGGGCATCTTCCTACTATAAAACAAAGGGACAAGTTGTTTATTAGAATTAAAGATTTAAAAAATGCAAAAACTGCTTTCCATTGCTTAGCCTGTTTTACCGATTTTATTCAATGCATAGTGATTTGGAGTTGAGAAGGGATGACATCATTTCAATGTATTGCATATTTATCAAAATATATTTATGATATGAAAGCAAAACTATGCTACTGTATGTCACATGCCACATCACATCAATTACACAATATCAAACTACATTTTTGTTACTACTTTAATATCACGCACTAATAATCACATTCATTTTGCTAAAAGACAGTGTACATGCCGAAGGAGGGAGAGAAAACACACATCTACAAACTCCATTCACATTTTCTTGTGTTATCAATGTTTTTAGAATTACCTGTGCATAGCTTGATACACCAACTGTTGCAATTCCTTCATTGACCTCTACCCACTCATGTTGTGAAGTAAACTTGCGATCTGTGAAAAAACAGATTGAAATATTTAATCTGTAAGTTACTACACTAAAAGAGGTGATCAATATAAATGTTGTTTATTCGTCATTATAACACTGATATAACATTATATAGTAGCTATTAGTTCGGATTAACTTCATTAAAATCCAGAAAAAAATATGTCATATCTTTGGGAAATTAAAAACCAACAAGATTTGTTTGAAACATTGGATATACTGTTACATTAGAAAACAGACAACCTTTATAGTATATAGCACCAATTAAAGCACATTTCTTTCGGATTAACTTCATTAAAATCCAGAAAAAAATATGTCATATCTTTGGGAAATTAAAAACCAACAAGATTTGTTTGAAACATTGGATATACTGTTACATTAGAAAACAGACRACCTTTATAATAGTATTTAGCACCAATTAAAGCACATTTCTTTTCTTCCTAATTTTCTTTCCTTTTTTTCATTTTCTTAAATATTTCTTTGTAAATGCATGCCAGTACTACAATGTAAGCTTAGGGGCTGACCATTACACCCTGGAGGGATGGGGTTGATGATTTTGAAAAGAAATTTCCTGCATACTATAGAACAAAGGGCCAAAATAATAGACCTAATCGGCTAGCGTGTTGCTATATGTTACCACCCATTTCAAATGCTTTGGGAAAAAGAGCTTTTGTATCTAAGAATTCAACTGTGAAATGAAAATACAAAGAACAATGAAACTTACTTAAGTGGAAATGTTTATACAGGTAGCAACGTATTAGCCAATCAGGTATACTCCAGCATGGCAAAATTTTCACTAGAATCTTCTGTTATTTTACCACATAACTTTGTGGCTTGCTAGTGTTTTATATTATCAAATTATCCCCCCTGTCCACTCTGTATTGTCTTTATGTTTCAGCTAAACACAACACAAAAAGCACAGGTGTCTTGAGATTTGAAAACATTTTGCAAGCATGTTTTGTTATTCTGGTATTTTGTCTACATGTTTTACAATTTGTTTACAACGCTACACCTATAATGATCTAATCAAGCAAGTCGATTTTTTTTATGCTCCAGGTAGCACCCTCCTTTCTTATGTCACGTCATGTAAACTACTTGAATATTAATATAAACAAAGTCATTTGCATATATCAAACTTTTAAATTCTTTGCGAGAATATTCAACATAAAGCTCTAAAACTTTTGTACAGCGTCAATAACATTTATTTAATATTTGAACTTACTAGCGTCTAAAGTTTAGATCTTCATTTGAACCATTAAAAACCAATTTATACTTATAAGTTAATGCAAATGAACTTGAACAACGTTAACTGTATTTCATGGAAAACTCAAATTGTTTTCGACATCTTATTTCATGAGACGGCATAGACTATGACCAAAACTATGAAGCCTTTTCCCCAAAAAGAGCACGATAGCGGTCACGATAGATACAAAGGGCTTCATCAGACATATGTCTAGCATGACACGACTCGAACAACCGTAAAGTAAATAAAAACATGCTTTCAAAAAAATCTAGAAAGGCATCAATTATTTTTGTGTATCGTTCCACAATAACGTTACAATATAAAGTAGGACAAAATCCGATTGCAAAACCATTGCAAAAGTTCACGTTACACGTGACATTCAATGCAAGTTTAAGCTTAATTTATGCGTTTCTTATCACAGTAATTTAAATACAAACCGGCCAGAAGTTGCCTTGAGAGACAGTATGACCTTACAGCCTGGCCTTGAAAATTCAATACTCTCCTTGCAATGACATTTTTCAGGGTAGAATTGACCGATCGAGTACAATATCGCAGTATCACACTTGCCATTTTAGTGCACTGTTACATTAAAACAGCTACCGCCGCGCGTTGATGAACTGGGAAGGAGTTTAACGGAGCATGTTGAAATGGTATCTACTGCTGTCCCGAAAAAACACAGGCTCAAGCATGGCGAGTCTACTTTGATGGTTGATGAAAGTTTTGATTCTTCTCCAAAGAAATCGAAGTTTTGAGGGGTTTTCTGCAGACTTTGGTGTGATAAGGGAATTAGATTGTTAACTTAAGAAAAAGAAGGGTGTTTGTAAAAGTTTTATGTAAAAAAGGTAAGGAAAACATTAATGTTCAAGCTTTCTTTTACGTATGAAGAACGTTTGAACATGTGCACATGCTACATGCTATTATCGAATGTGCCGGCTTTGATGCTCAATATATTTAAGATATAAAGAAATATGCTATTCACGTTTTGACTACTTATTGCATAGGGATAGTTATTACGAAGATATTAGCGTATTCAGAATTCTAAATAAATCCTTTTAAATAAATAATCTTCCTAAATAAATCCTTCTGATTCTTAATGTCACATTCTAAGGGCCTCTAAGGCTGGTTTTCAGTATTACACACAAGCATATATGATAATCATGAGCATAATGCATGCTCTCACTTGACATACAGCACAATAATAATCTTGAAAGATAAGTTTTCATTTCACATAAGCACTGCAATAAGCACAATAATAATCTTGAAAGTTTTCATTGACATAAGCACAGCAATAAGCACAAGAAAAATGAGCATGTTCAATAGAACTGCTAATCGCTGTGCATATGAGCTAGTGAAAACAGTCCCGTAGGATTTCATAAGTTTGTTCTCTTGAAATTTTATTATAATATATATGTATCCCTTCATATAAACTTACACTTAGCCTAGTTTCATCTCTTTACTCTGACGAAGGATTAACGTCCGAAACGTCATTGACAAAATCCTTGGACTATTCCAGCGAATTTCCTCATTTTAAGCAACAACCTGCAGACAATTTCATCCCCCCTGACCCCCTAAATGCAGTGTTGTCAATGATCATGTTACCATAGTACACAAGCATCTAAAACAAGACCCAACAGGGGGCTAAGGGAGGGAACTGTGAAAAAATAAAGGAGGAAAATGTTAGGATGGAGACAATATAATTCTATGGTCCAAGGTATTTTGGCAACAATTGTAGTTTCATCTCTTTACTCTGACAAAGGATTAACGTCCAAAACGTCAGTAAGTTGTTTCACCTACTTTTTTACGGTGTTAAATGTATCTTTTTACACAACTGTTTCTCTTCCATTAGACCATCATGCATATGTACGCACTGACCCTTCAACGTGCATCTGCCATCAACAATACCATATATGGCAATTTCTCTGGTTCTAAGCAACAAGAAATAGTTGTTTGCAGAGGAAAATCCTTAGAGCTGCTGAGAACAGATCCCAACACTGGCAAAGTATTTCCTGTGCTTGCTATTGAGATGTTTGGTATTGTTAGAGATCTGATTTCATTCAGATTAACTGGAGGATCTAAAGGTGACAAATTTGATGTACCCTGGTCTCAGAGGTTTTCTCTTCTTTTCAACACATATTTTTCTTTGATGTTTCTTTTTTATTTTAAAAAGTTATAATGCAAAAAAATAACAAAGAAAAGCATTCAGAGTGTAGAAATGAAGAAAAAAAGTCCTTTTGGGTTCAGGGCAATGTGACTTAGTAGCTGCATTAAAAGTGATTGACTTAGTATGTGAATCCTTTGAAGTTTACTTCAGTATATTGGTTATTGTAATATTTATTTTCTGTTATTATATTCTTAACATGATTATTAGCTAGTACACAGTATTAGCTAGTACATTATTCTATCTTGGATTTCTCAGCCTTCAAATCAAATTAAAATGTGCTGGCCTTCTTGAGATATATATAAATACACTATGCATTGCATTAATAAAAATTTCATTTCATCTATTCTCTTTAGATTATATTGTAGTTGGTAGTGATTCAGGGAGAATTGTTATTTTGGAATACATTCCATCGAAGAATGCATTTGAAAAGGTACTTTATATTTTACATGTACATGAGGCCTTTAAGTATCTATGCATGTTTGTGTTTGAACATGTAAACTGTAAATAGTAAACATTGTTACTGTTCATGTAATCTGTTACTGTCAGAGTTACCGTATTGAGACTTGTGTGCTGCGAGTGTGTTGAATTAATCATTCAATTATATCTACACACATCTACAAAGCTATTGAGGGGACTTATTGGTTCTTTATGCTAATACAAAGCCTATAATATAATGATACTGTCAATTCAAGGAGCTAATATTTTTTTCTTGATAAAAGATTCACCAGGAAACGTTTGGTAAAAGTGGCTGTAGGAGAATTGTTCCTGGTCAATATCTTGCTGTCGACCCAAAAGGAAGAGCAATAATGATTGGTAGGTTCATTTCATTGAGTGATTAACATTAACGTATTAATGAATAGCCAGTAATAGTTAGGGTTTTTAGGCAAGTAGATTAAGCACAAAGTTTCAATAATGATTGATTTCTTGATTGAAGTGTATAATAACCCAATTACTGTCAAATAGTTTCAAGAAATTGTCATTATTTCATGGAAATAAATTATATAATTCTCAAGTAATTAAAGCATGGTGGAATTATTGTTCTTCCAAAAATTTCAAATTCATAACTTTTACATTTATTTGAAGAAATGMAAAAGATACATTATACAATATTGTAATTCTTGTTCTTGTAGGTGCAATTGAAAAACAAAAGTTGGTTTACATAATGAACAGAGACTCGTCAGCACGTCTTACGATATCCTCACCTCTTGAAGCACACAAGTCTCATACGTTGGCCTTTGATATAGTTGGTGTTGATGTGGGGTTTGAAAACCCAATGTTTGCTTGTTTAGAGATAGACTATGAAGTAAGTCCTAAAGTGTAGCATTCTGCTAGTGAATGAACTAAGAATAAAACACCATAAAAAATATGTGAATCCCAATGACCTAATGCTTACATATATATCACTATTACTCCAGTTATTCAAACTTCAAAATTCAGCTTCCTGAAAACTGAAGAGTTCAGTGGAGATTAATTCAAAACTCTTTTGGTTTTGAGAGAGGAGTCTTGACAGAAGTTCAGCAAAGTTAGGAGCACGAAATGGCAGTTGACATTTAGTTGATACAGTATATTTTTGTGAAAAGCATTGCTCAGTAAATTTGTCTGGAGTATGAAGAGTTTTCTAGGCTCCTGCTCTTGTTGAAGACTCGTGCGTTGTAGCTGATATGTTCCATCCATGTATCTGTTGTATGTCCATGTATACACAGATCAAGAAGCAGTCTTCGACATCCTTCAACATTTCTTTCAAAATTTCATTCACCTTAATTTTATCAGAGTTGATTTTTATGGCTTTTTGGGCATGAGCACTGATTCTTGAACTCTTCTGAGTGAAAATGTCTAATTATATCAAAAATGAGTGAAAATTTATTTGCAATATTTTTTTAATTAAAACTTACAGGAAGCTGATTCAGATCCTACAGGAGAAGCAGCACAAACCACACAACAAACCCTTACTTTTTATGAACTAGACTTGGGTCTCAACCACGTTGTGCGCAAGTACAGTGAACCATTGGAGGAGCATGGGAATATGCTGATAGCAGGTAAAAACTGAATAAATGAGCAAATGAAAGAAAGATTGAATAAATGGACAAAGTATCTTTATTGCAGTACCTGGTGGCAGTGATGGTCCTAGTGGTGTTTTAGTATGTTCTGAAAACTACCTGACATACAAGAACTTTGGCGATCAACCAGACATAAGAATGCCAATTCCAAGAAGAAAGGTAGGTAGAACCACCTTATTGTACATGTAATGTGAGGAGGGTTTCTTTTTTCTCCTTGTTGTTCAACAATCCTTTTGCTTAGAACTCGCTTGTCTTGCAGGCAATCACTTTTTTTTTAAGAAGCTCTTTTTATCAATCATTTYAAACCTGAACTTAATACTCAGGTCAACCACTATATTACCACTATCCACTTGTAATTGCATCTCTTGTTTTAGTTTACTTTTGACCATTGTAATTTAATCATATTATCTATTACTACTATATAACTGATTGTAAAATGTAATCACATTCAAACTGAAGATGGCTTTATGAAAGTCGAAACATGTCTTTGAAATTTAAAAGTGTTGTGTTGTTTTTAAAAATTATTGCATCACTTGTGCTTTTACGCTCACTTCACAATCACTTTTATGTTGAAATTTTGAGATCTTTTAGTGGCACTCTTCAACCGCAACTTCAAACAATACTATTGACTGACTCTTGGCTTATTTTTAGTCCATTTCTAATCTTAATGCTAACCACATTTTCCTTTTTCTTAAAATAAAACAGTATGATCTTGATGACCCAGAGAGAGGCATGATTTTTGTATGTAGTGCAACTCATAAAACTAAGGTAAGTTGGATGTTTTTGACCAAGTTTCCTCTAGTTGAGTTATAACAGCGTTTATATTACTCCTTGGAATCTTTAAAAACTCCTGGAATTAAAAACTCATTGTCTTCTTGAAAATTATTTCTCTTTAATTTGAATACTTCTTTTTCATGTGCAATGCTTTAATTTTCCCCTCTTTTCCATGCAGTCCATGTTCTTCTTCCTGGTACAAACAGAACAAGGAGACATATTCAAAGTCACAATGGAAGTCGATGAGGATATGGTAGGTGCTTTACTTTATGAATTACTAGTTACTTAAATTATTACTTGCAGTCTTTGGACATTAGAGCAAACTCTGGAAAACCATGAAATAAAATCAAACTAAATACTAACAAATAGCAGCTATTTACATGTAGAGACAATTTGTCAGTATCAATGAACCAGAATTCAATCAAGATGAATTAAAAATGGTCCCATGTGGATTCATCTTGATTGTGTTCTGGTTCATTGATATTGATAAAATTTCTCTAAATAGCCTGCTATTTGTAGTATTTAGTTTTATTTTATTTCATGGTATTCCTGCACAGTCAACTCTGTCATAAGTGACCATAAGTGGTTATTCACGAGAGATGGTTACTTACGGGAAAGTTTTTTTCACAGAGTTTATATGGGAAACTGAACAAAACAGGAAATTTAATTGAAGTTTACTTGAGTGGTCGTTAAAAGAGAGTTAACTATATTTGCTTAACACAACTTATTCTTTGTCCATCATAGGTGACAGAATTACGCATGAAGTATTTTGACACTGTTCCTGTGGCTACAAGCATGTGTGTTCTCAAAACAGGTTTCCTGTTTACTGCTTCGGAGTTTGGAAACCAGTAAGTTGACCAGAAATTCAATGACAAAGTGAAACAACAGAAAAAAGTGTTTGTAATAATATAGTTGTAGAAGTCCATTATATAGAGGTCATTTTTTCACATTTTGTGTAGTTTTGTCAAGACCAAAATAGTTGTTATGATGATTGATAACACATCAAAATAGAAAATTTATGTGTGCCAATTTGACCTTCATCAAAAAGCAGTTCTAGAAAATCAACATGCATGATTTGCTTAACTTTCAGGGGTTTTTTTTATTGACGAAATGACTCTGGTGTTCGATAATAAAACCAACCACATTTTTTCTTCTCATATTATCAAGATTTCTATAAGATGGAATATTCTATTTAAAAATTAGTTATTCTAAAATGCTTAGGATACTACGCGCGCTGTGATTGGTCGAAAACCATGTTTGATTACAGTATCAAAACACGCTCGCGCACATCAAAAATTTCTTTTTTTCTTTTAATTTTCTACGCGTCGTGGTTTCCTACGCTTCTCTCGTGCTCTCTCTACATCCCGCGTGTTTTGATCAGAGTATCAAACACGGAATTTCGTCTTTTATTCCTTAATTTATACATTAAAATTAAGGCTATAAATTATTTACAATAAAAGAACAAATTTAAAGTTTTGACTACGAAGTCTTCATAATATTTGTTTTTTTGCAAAATTAGTATCTTTCTTGTTTACAGTTATTTATACCAGATTGCTCACCTGGGAGATGACGACGATGAAGTAGAGTTTTCAAGCACTATGGAACTTGAAGAGGGAACTACTTTCTTCTTCACCCCGCGTGGTCTCAAGAATTTGGTCCTTGTTGATGAACTTGAGAGTCTTGCACCAGTTATGTCATGTCAGGTAAGCAGATTACAGTGAAACTCTGTCTAAACTACATTGTGGTCATCTCTGTGCAATTTTGCTAGATTTATATTACTAACATTGGTGGCTACTGGTGGTGAACTTATGTGAGCTGTGTCAGTGTTTCTAAAGAGACAGTTGTGTAAAAAGATAAATTAACCACTGTAGAAAAGGAAGGATTAATGTCCGAGACATCAGTAAGTTTTTTCACCTACTTTTTTTACGGTGTTAAATTTATCTTTTTACACGACTGTTACTAATACTGAGTCTGTGCAATCTCATACCCAGGTCCTTCTCTGTTTTCCAACAGAAAATTGAAAGCTAAAATGACTTTCATTATAGATTGCAGATCTTGCTAATGAAGACACCCCGCAGTTGTTTGCACTCTGTGGTAGAGGGCCAAGGTCAAGTCTACGTGTCTTGCGTCATGGTCTTGAGGTGAGCAATATATAAAATATGCTTTAGTGATATTTGCTATTTACAGAAGTTTAGTCAAAGTCAAACTATGTGTGTGAATTTGATCTGTAATGGCTTTTATTCAGCTATTACTTGTAAATCACATTCATATTTCTTTCTTGTATTGAATGAACAATGTACATTGTAGATATCATTCAGAATCCTGACAATATTTCTTTTCAAGGTGTCTGAGATGGCTGTTTCAGATTTGCCTGGTAATCCAAATGCTGTGTGGACAGTCAAACATACCAGTGCTGGTAGGTTTCTGGCAAAAGACTTAGTTGTAAATTTATGGAGTACCTTACAATGACATAAAGAAGATTGAAGGATAAACTGGTTCTGTTTGTTAATGCGGTAGTGAAAGGCATGCTTTGAAAGTTAATGTTCAGCAAGAAAGAATTGAAGGGGCGGATGCTAAAACGACTTAAGTGACGATTTAGGGTATTTTTGAAATTTTCGAAAAATTGACAAAAAATCGCTTCAATCATTTGTTTCTGGTCTAAATAATCATGTTTGCTAGTTATTTCTCGTGATTTCCTTTTAAAAAGCGGAAAAAAGTCGACATTTAGTTACAGACTGTACCCTCCCCTCCCCCAAACTTTAGCGGCATAGGGTTAGTTCCAGCCTTATGCAAGAGTTAGGGTTCCTATAGCCTAAGACAGGGGCTAGGGTTGCTTGATTTAGGGTTAGGGTTAGAATAGTTAGGGTTTAGGGTAGGGTAGGGTTAACGTTAGCTAAGCGTTAGGCTCTAAAACCTGAGTTTGTAAAGCAAACAAACTCCCCCCCCC